AAGCAAAAAAAAAGATTTTTTTCCCAACAAAATGAAAAAAAACCCACCCTAATTTGGGGGGGGGGAGGATATGTAAACTGCATAGGATTTTTAAATAAAATATCATTTCAGAGGTTTTGTTTTCCTAGACAAAATGACCTGACGCATTCGAAAAGAATTCAGTACATGATTCAGTCCACGTGAACCCAAATTTTAACAATTTTAACCCCCAAATTGTGTCCAGCTATAGGCATGTGATGCCATTGATCCGAAATTTAACAGGAATTTGGTTAAGTCGGGTTGCGAGAGATGGCTTTTAACCACAAGATGAGTTGTAGATTCCCACCCCCACCCCCCCAGAGGCTCTAAACTTTCATGTTAAGAAATTCCACTCCTGGCTGGTTGAGACAAAAACCTCCCATATGAAGGCACATTCTTCCATGCTCAAGCTTTTATGACATGTTCTGGAAGAATCTGCCCTCAAATGTGAAATTATAAACTTCAGATGCATTGGATGTTAACGTCGACCTTGGCAACGTATGGAGCAATGAACTTCAAGACTGGTAAATTATGTACTGAAATACATCATGAGGAACTGACATGATGGAAAAGGTTCTGGGACACAGGATCAAGGAAAGTAAGAATGATGGAGAGGTTTGAAGATGCAGGTAGAAAAAAAATGTTGAAAACCTTCCAGATAAGGTTTTCAAAACACTTTACATTGTCCTCTCCTCTCAAGCCCATGTTAGGGTTTGGATGAACGTTTAGTGTCAGCTCTTTGGGACAGCAGACCCACATCCTGTGATTTTGGACAAGGACTCCATCTAGCACTTTGTCAATATATTAGGAACACAATTACCCCCATTTTATAGACAGGGATACAGAGTCCCAGAGAAGAGAAATAGATTCATAGAAGTCAGGTCGGAAGGGACCTTGCAGATCTTCTAATCCGACCCCCCGCCTGGGCAGGAGAGAAAAAGGGGCTCAAATGACCCCAGCCAGGTAAACGTCAAGCCTAGAGGTAAGAAGCAGACCACCTAT